TTCAACAAAGAATGATAGAATTCTGTCACAATGGGTTCCGCCTTTGGAAGGTGTCATTAAGCTGAACTTTGATGGAAGCAGCCAAGGCAATCCCGGGCCTTCAGGTATAGGGGGTATCCTGAGAAATAAGGATAGCAACATAATTTCCCTATTCTCAGGACCGGTGGGAGTGGGGGATTCCACAAGGGCAGAAATCCTTGCTGCAGTACAAGGAATTCAGATCGCCAACCAGCTTGGGGTGGAGCATCTCCTAGTTGGAGGGGACTCTCAGGTGGTAACCAGGTGGCTCCTAAACTTGAATACCACCATTTTGGGGTTACAAAGATCTCATCAAAAAAGTAAAGTAGTTAACCATCAATATGAGAGTTGAGGTAAAATGGGTTAGTAGGTCTGCTAATTCTTTGGCTGATGCTCTAGCCAAACAGGGGGTTTCTAGGGAAGATCTTTTTTGTGCTTCTATGTAAGTTGTTATTAATTCGGAAATCTGTACTTAACCAGCCCAGAGAGGTTGCAACTCGTACCTTTCCAGGAGGACTTTGTACTATTTTTATTGCTGATTTATAAAATCATTTCAATTATAAAAAAAAATTGTTAGTTCTACAAGATACAAGTGTAGATCTATAAAAAAAAAATCAAGCTAAACTGCCAAAAAGAATGACTTCTAGCTGGTGAACGACCATTTCTTCCCACTGGCACAAGGAGACCGACGACTTCAGAAAATGGTATGAAAATAGTCGTCGGTCGTCGGTGGTCATGTTTATGGTCGTACCTTAGCCAGAGATCGACAGGAACAATGCTTGCAACTCGACTGTTGTAGAAATAGGTAGGCGGTGAGGGTCGGCTACACAAGGTTGAGAGGAAGAATCCGATATTTTTTCTCATAGTTTTCTTTTCTCATCAGGGTTGCATCATTTCAGCGCAACCCCACTTTATTGCTTTTGGGAACCTGCATCCCATGGTTTCCCTTCCCATCCATTCGAACAAATGCTAGAAAAAGGGGGTATAATGGGAATATTTTCATTCCCATAGCAAGAAACAAAAACACCATTAATATTTGAAAGGGCATAAAGCTCGGGGAACTATGTTTTGAGTGGTGTTTCCCCTAGCCAAAGGTCCTCCCAAAACCGAATTTTGTCACCCCATCCCCCACATCAAAGCGGATGGAATTGAGAAAAGTTGGGTATACCTCATGAGTTCCTTTCCAAGGAGAAGTTGAGGTTGAATGGGAGGATAGCTTTGCATCCCAACCATTTTCTTTCCAGCCCATGAATGCTTTCAATTACCTTGTGCCATAGCTTGCCTCTTTCAAAGGGAAATTTCCACAACCATTTGCCTAGTGCTAGTAGTTCAATATTTCAAAGAACAATGTTCCCTGTCCTCAGACCCCCTTTTTTCTTAGGTTTGGTAACCTGTTTCCATTTGACTACATGATCCTTCTTTTCCTCTCCCGGTTCCCATGGGAAATCCCTCATATATTTCTCTAATTGCCTTGTGATCCTAGTTGGGATACGAAAGGTGGAAAGGAAGTAAATAGGAAGATTTTCCAATGTTGCTCTAATCAAAGTTATTTTGCCTCCCTGAAAGGATGTAATTCCTTTTCGATAAGGCTAACTTTTTTGCAAATCTTCTTGACCACTGGCTTCCAAAAAGCATCTAATCAAATGACAACTGAACTATTGAACCATAAATTAAATTAGTAAATAATCAAATGACAACTGATCTATTGAACCATGTCAATAGATCACTATCACCAAAACAAGTTAAACTCCCTCATGTCAATATAAGGGGACATAATTAGTTACTTGTCCCCACTAAAATGTTCATATGTATATGGCCTGCCTGGTTGGTTTCATTATATTGCTCTACGCAAGATAAACATTTTTTTGTGTTTTTGTTTTAAGAAAGTTTTCTGAATTAGTTTCGGGGCCCAGTTTTCTTGAGATCCCAACAAACACAACAATTGAAATTGGTGAATGCTCCATAGATTTCTTGTTAGATATCCTAGCTTTTGACCCTGGACCCTATAATCCAAGTATGTAATCTTGATTCCTTTGTAGAATAGTGATAGTCGTTCTCTACATTTTCTAAATTGATGATGCGTTGCATAGACCCTATAATCCAAGTATGTGTTGCATGGACTAATGGATGATGAGTCCAACATGCACAGATTCATGAAGACACTTCTATATAACATTTATTTTTTATCTCCAAGTTTATTTGACATAAATGAACAGCTAATGTACAAGATGGATTCCATTTTTCTTTTCAAATGTCACTTATTAAGAGAGGCAACATTTTTGCAGATATATAATATTAGAATTAAAAAATATGAACTATTTTAATAGTATATACTTTTTTATAGGCATGTCTGTGAGTGCATGTTTGCTCACCTTGCTGAGTCAGACTCCTAGACACAAGTTGGATTCTGACTCCTTTGTGTTGTGTCCGTGCAATACTGATACAAGGCCCACTTAGGAAATCTGAAGCCAAAGACCAGACTGATTTGATGAGTCCTGTACTGCCTATCTACTTTTTTTCCTTGATTATTCACCGTTTATTGTTTCCATCCAAAATAATGTAGTAATCTAATTCAGTAGGGTTGGGTGAATAACGAGATCCGTAGCTAGAGTATTTATCACAGAGAGAGAGAGAGATTCCCTGATTGAGAGAATGCCAATGGACTCTTGTTCTCTCCTTTGTTCTCAAGATGGCCTAAGAAAAGAGGGAAGGTCATGTGGAGAAACATTAGGGCAGCAGTGTGTTCGTCCATATGGGGAGAGAGAAACTCACGAATTTTTTCAGACAAGGAAAGAACCATGGAAAACTTAATTGAACTGATACACTAAAGGGTAGCTCACTGGCTGAAATCTATGGAGCTATTCTCAGATTTTTCCATGGATGACATATTGAGAAAGTGGAAAGAAAAAGCTACCTCTGCCCAATGTAAGAGGACCTCTAGACCTTCTTGGTCCCCCCCTCCTGGATTCATAAAACTGAATTTTGATGGCAGTAGCTTAAGGAATCCTGGGCCTTCTGGGATCGAGGGAGTGTTCAGGAATGAGGCTGGGATTATTAATACTATTTTCTCAGGCCCAACTGGAGAGGGTGACTCTCTTAGGGCTGAGATTCTAGCAGTTCTGAAAGGAATCCAAAGAGCAAGGTAATTAAACATACAATGCCTGGTCAGTGAAGAGGACTCGGAGATGGTGATTAGGTGGCTGAAGGAAGACAATAATGGTTTGTGGAGCTACAGAAATGAAAAGAAAAAATTTAAATGGCTGAGTAGGGATATTGAGGTGAAGTACAGTTGGGTGAAGAGAAGCGCTAACTCAATGGCTGATGGGTTAGCCAAGCAAGGGGCGCTTAAGGAATCTATGTTTTGGGCTAATTTTTAGCTTTCTTCTTAGTTCCTTGTTGTGGGGGAGTTAAGATAGTTTACTTCCCCTTTCTTGTACTTAAAGTTTCACAAATATTATTATTTAATAAAGCATCTTGTTACTGATAAAAAAAAGGAATGCCAATAGACTGTCATCCTATTAGTACTTAGACTCTTCCTTCTTTCTATGTCTGTTACAAGTCAGCTTAATTTGTGCCAGGATTGTTGATTTTGCGGTTCAAGCCATGAGAAAATTAGACCATCATGACATGTATTCTATTTCCATTTTCTTTATCTTCTTATATGTCCTTTTTGTATGGATTGGATTCTAGTAACAAAAGAATGATTTGCAGATTTCACTCTGTGATACTTATGCAGTGTGCTATTTTCTTTCTTTTCATTTAGGGCGTCTGAGATCAGTAACCCCTTACTTTGGAAGTGCACAGACCTCCCGAGGGGCTTATGTTGGAAGCCCCAGTTACCACCAGCCAGTTTCTTACAGCTACCAACAAGGATTTGCTTATTCTCCATATGGGTGAGTTGTCCTTCCTCAAGTAGATGGTCTCGTTTAATGATCTAAAATTCACCAACTGACTTGGAGCCTACCTGAGCCACCTTTGTTTGGCTGGGTCTCAAGTAATGGGTATCAAGTCCTATTTCTAAATTTGTAAGGAGCTGTCCAATGCAGTGGTTCTCATTGTCTTTTTCTAGCATGTCATCTCACTTGGACAGACCAGCCAGTTTTGTGTAAAATTTAACCTGGCCTGTTTTGTCATTAATTATTATATGGAGCCATGGGGAAGCAATCCATGAATGATGTACTTGAAATCTTGAAGGACCAGTTCGTTTCTTTCTGAGTATGACATGCACACACATATAATATGACATTGTATGAGATTCTCATTCTCTAGGTGCAGTCTTTGGTATGTTATATTACTACTTTTACACATATGTTGACTATTATACAAATGGAGTTATAGCCCTATAATCATTACTTGTGAGACATTCTTATTCATCTAAGCTTTCACCCACCAAACCGGCTCTTGGATTTGATTACCATTACAAAGTTATTGATCATTGATGATTATCCAATTTAGCTCTTGGATTGGCCATGCCCAATTATTAAGAGAAAAGGCCCATCTAGCAGGTATCTGGTGGTTAGGATCGCCTGGCAAAACATAGTTATCAGCTACATAGTACAGGAGATGGTATATTGATTAAATGAGAGCGACTTGAAAGCTAATACACATACTTTTTTCTTATAATATTTGTTTAAGTTTCACAGATATGCCTCAACCAAATAGGTAAATAATTATGCTCAAAAAACCATTAAAAGATCTCATCACCTAATATTCTTGCGGACGCGGTGTTTTTCTTTTTGTGTAGGTATACGACATATGGACCCGAATACATCTACCCACAGGTTGAGAACTATGGAATTACTACCATCATTTAGAATCACTATTAGAAGGGAAAGAAACAGGACTGACTTTAACTTTTGCATGTATTCTTATTTTTCTTTGTTTATAGGGGGGATACAATCCCTATGTTGGTCAGCAGTACCTTCAGATATATGGTGTACCAGACACAGTTAACACAGCTATCTACCCAGTTGGGCAATTGGGTCAGCCTCTTCCTGGCGGTCATGGATACACCACTGTTCAAGGGTATACGATGCCAGGTCCTCACATTGTGCAATTTAGTGGACCGAATGTCAATGGAGTAACCACAACACCTATCTCTACAATTCAAGCACCATATCCTACAGGTAGAACTTTTTCTTCGTTTCCATTAACCAAGCAACAACAGTGCATGGGTACATCCAAGCCCAGTATATCTTATATAGGGACAACTTTGTATAATTATGATCTTTTATGAATCAGAGGTAATAATATACTCAGTTTGGGTTCTCTCCCTTCAAGAGTTCGAGCAATTCAGTTTTTTAGATTTTACAGAGAATTTCTGGGATGTTCTTGAGATTCAAGCCTGCAATATGCATCAGTTTAATCTTGTATGAAGTGGTTCTGTTTGTTTGATTCTAGATGGGTACTATGGAAGTCTGATTGTAATGGGGTGTCATCTTGACAAGTGACAACCAGCAACCTGTATCTGTTTTTTATTTTAATAAAATTTTCTATCTCATCTTTCTAAAAAAATATATATACTCAGCTCATGCTTTTTGATTAACCCTTGATCTGTGGGCCAACCTTGTATTCAAAAGTTGGCAATTGGACCACATGGATAGGGGTTTATCCAGCAGGAGCACTTGCAGATGATTAGCAGTTGAAGAGGACTCCTTTCTTTTTGGATAATGTATTATGGGCATTAGAGAATATAAGTTTGGATAATATTGATAATTCATGCAAATGAAATGGTGTATTAGAGAATATAAGTTTGGATAATATTGATAAAAAAAATTAGTTTGGAAAATGTATTATGGGCAAATCTGTATAAATAGTGATGAAAACAGAAGGCCACAAAAAGCATCCTTTTTCCAATCTGGTACATCTGAAGTTGCTGATCAACCATGCTTCTTGTGCTGTTAGGTGTAGCAGCGCAAGTTCCAGCACAGCCACAGTTCATAGTTCCTGCTCATTCTCCTCAGTTCACGCAGGGGAGTGGTTCAGACCAAGCAGCAGGTTGAGGGGCTGATCGAGATGAGTACATCTGAGGTATAATATTTTGTCCATCTATCCTTTCTAAGTTGTGTCAGTGGTATTAATTTTCATTGGAGAGGGTCACCCATGCTATTTTCAGGTATCCTTAGATTGCAGCAGGACTAAGAGCAGCAGTACTGCTACTTGAGTGGCGGGCTTCATATCTAGCCTTGCAAGTTATCATCTTTGCATTCTAAAGGTAAAATATGATCCCTTGAAAGTGGATTTACAGCTAAAGCTTGATTGATTTGGTTATGTGTGTGTGTGTATAACTGGGTCATTTAATGTGCTTCTCTAAACAACATAGACATCTTTTTTTTTTTTTTGATCAGCAACAGAAAGGATTTTATTAAATCAGGAAAGAAACATTACAATTCTTGGGTAGCCTCGGCTACCCCCAAACAACTTAACCAAAAACAAAACAGAACTTTTACTTGTTGACAATTACAATTGAGCCAAAAAACACTGCTCTCATTTAGCCCCTTGCTTTGCTAAACGATCAGCTTATGCTGTTAGCCCTTGGAGCCCATTGAGAACCTTCTGAGTTTTTTTTTTTTTTTTTTCATTTCTGAAAAACCATGGGGCTTTTTCCTCTTGTTTCTGCCAGCTGATGTTTACTTTTGAATCTCCTTCAATGATCAGCTTCCTTACCCCTATCTCCATAGTTTTTTGCACCCCAAAAACTACTGCATTCATTTCATCTGTTGTGGAGTCCCCTACCCCAAGAAGTCCTGAATACAGACCCAAATTTACTCCTTTCTCATTCCTTTAGCACTCCTATTCCAGATGGACCCAGATTACCATAACTACTGCCATCAAAGTTCAGCTTAAGAAACCCAGACATAGGTGGATCCCAAACCCTGAAAAGTCTCTTCTTTAGAGAGGATGAAGCTGCAACTATCCCTCACTTTCTTATTACATCATCAAAGGTAAAGTCCAAGAATAAATTCAATGGCTTCACCCAATGTGAAGAATCATATTCCATTAAATCGGAGATTGGTTACAGGAGAATCCCCTTAGAGGCATGAGTTGCTGCCTCTCCATACAGAAAACACATAAACTACATCAAAGAGTACATGGCTGTTAAAAACACAAATTACAGTAAGACATCAGCAAATGCATTAGCTGATCTCCCAACCCACTGTACTGTTACAGACATATTCCTTGTCAGCCGTTGAATTTCCTTAGCTCTTTTTTGTAGTCCCGCGTGTCCTCCGGATTATTTAACCAGTTCACCACTGTCTTAGAGTCCCCTTCAACCAGAAGCTGCTCCACACCCATTTCTTTTGCAAGAATTATTCCTTGTATTGCAGCTAACAGCTCTGCCTAAATAGAGTTCCCAACACCTAAAGGACCAGAGTATAGTAAGACAGCCTCTCCAGCCTCATTCCTCAGTACACCCCCAACCTAGAGGGACCTGAGTTGCCCTGGCTAGTCCCATCAAGATTCATAGGTTTCTTTCCTCCCAAATTGTCAATAATACAACTGCCCTTGTGCATCTCCATAATAATCCCCCCCTATTCTTTGGCCACCTGAAAGTATAAGAATCAAAAACCCTGTCCAAACAGGTTGGGAGTATTCCACCTGCAACCAAAATGAGAGAAAAAGCAATCTCAAATGCAGCAAGCAAGGGGATAGGAAATTAGAATAAGATAAGCAGTTCTACCATTAGATTTACACAAAGTACACCAGTTTTGAGAAAGGTACCAACCGGGTCTCTTCTTTTGCAATAAGTCACAAGTACTGATAGAACCATGGAAAACCTCCCAACAAAAAGCACCCACCTTGGGGGTGATAGGTCGACACCAAATTTCTTTGATTAGGAAAGGTATAAGAGCTTGGGTAAGAACCAACAAAACTTTAAAGAAAGAAGCACAACTGAAAGCTTCGGAGGGATGACTAGTCCAAAGATAACCATCTCCTTTTTACTAATATTAAGGAAAATCCCATCAAGGACTTGTAAAATGTTCTTCCTATAATCTACTTTTATTACCCGAGTTGAGAACAAACCTCATGTGATTGACATGACAATTGAGAAATGAACTCAGAAGATTTAAATGGTTTTCAATGGACATGTTAACAGACTTTCCCCACCCACAGAACTTCCTAGAATATAATTTAATTACCTGAGTTGAGAACAAACCTTGTGTTATTAACATGGCAGTTGAGAAATGAACTCAGAAGATTTAAATGGTTTTCAAAGGACATGTCAATTTGAGGAGATGGGTGAGGAGAACTGTCAACAGCTTGACATATAGATTAGCTAAGCAAGGGATGCAAAGAACACATCTATTTTGGGCTCATCTGTAATTTTGGTTTGGGTCAGCTTTCAAAACTAGGTTTTTTCACAACTTTTTGTTGTAACCAATTTTTTCTTTTAATCAGTGAAATCTTTTCTGTGTTGCTGATCAAAAAAAAAAAATCTGGTGTGATTAAGGAAGAGTGGAAGAATCTTACAAATAGCTTTTCAAGGAGAAGCACTAGAAATCTTGTTAAAAACTCCAACGTCCCAACCATTCTCAGAGAGCCCATGAATGCTAGCCACCACCTTATGCCACATTTTGTCTATTTCTCGCGGGAATCTCCAAAGCCATTTACCTAACAGTGTCAGATTCTTTTCTTTCATTCTTCCTAGTCCCAAACCACCAAATTCCTTTCTTCTCCTCACCACTTCCCACCTGACTAGATGGTTCTCTTCCTCCCTTGGTTCCCACAAAAAATCCCTCATAATTTTCTCAATCCTTTTTACAACGGCTTGGGGCATACAAAACATTGAGAGGAAATAAACCAGAAGGTTTGCTAAAGTGGATTTAATAAGTGTTATTCTACCCCCCCCCCCCCCCAGTGATATATAATTCCTCTTCCACACTACTAATTTCTTTTCAAACCTCTCCGCAACCAAATTCCAGAAAGTCAAATTTCTAGGTTTGCACCAAGAGGAAGTCCTAAATATTTTAAAGGCCAATCACTTAACATGCACCCTAATTCCCTTGCCCACCAACCTTAACAAAAAGAGGGGTACACAAGAGGGTGTAAAAAGACCCGTGCTTGTCATCCCAAGGATTTTAGACCTTAATTTTTGTTGTCAAATTTTGGAGCTTTCTATAGAACCTAACCCCTTCCCAATTAGCCTCTGGAACATCTTCCCCCCACCAATCTCTAATTTTCTGCACAAATTCCAGGGAAGTAAGCCATACATTTTCAAACCTAAAAGGGGTCAGCCCTCCTCCATCTAGCCAGTCACAATTTCTGTAAGCTCCAAATTCTCTGTCAGACGATTGAATCTCCTCATACTGGTGGTTACTTCTTCCACATCAAATTCCTCTTCCTATATGAATTTGGCTGGCCCATTAACTCCTCCAAACATTCCACTGAATCCTCCTTCCAAAGGGTGACAATACCCTCAGAAGTACCCTAAGATGGAACCTGACCCCAACCAATGCCTCTCCCTCCCCAAATGCTCCTTATCCAACTTTTATCAATTTCCTGTATGTTTTGACTCCTGGGTCAGCAACAAATCTGGCTTTTTTATCAAAAAAAAAAATCTGGCTTTTCCCTCCTAACCACTTCCCTAATAGTCCTACACTTACTTGAACCACCCAAACCTCTCACATTCCAGCTAATTATTTTCATTTCACCTCCAAAAACTAAAACCCCTTTGTCCTTTAGACGCTTTCTACCTATTTCCTTTCCTTCTATCACCAACTCCCTTGCTCTTGTCCCAACTGTCCTCAAAAGAACAGATCTAAATTCAAGTACATGGGGCTTATATGCACAGAATTACTAACACAATGATGGCTGACTTAAAGCAGACCCCCAAAACCAGACATCAATAATAATAAAAAAGAAGTCCAAAAACCAGAAAATAAACTGGGTACCAGCTCAACTGCCTGGCCTAGTGGAGGGATCCTGTGGCCAACCCTTTTGATAAAAAAAAAAAAAAATCCTGTGGCCAACCCTGACCATCAATCAGACAGAAGAACTACTTTATTGGCCACATGTTCAACCTCACTGTCCATGTCACTCCTATACTTGACCTTGTATTGGGCCCAATTGAACCAAGTTGTTGTATGGAAGGTCCCTAGGTGGTTTAATGAGTCTCACTGATTGAATCAATATATGCAAACAGACAGAATTTCCATATTTTGGTGCCTTTTTTGCTAATCAATGAATAAACCATCATTAAAATCTCCAAGCCTGTACAGTTCTTTTGTGCTGTCAACGGGTCAGGTCTGGTCGAGTGATGGGTGACCCTGACGCAACTGAATAAGCAAATGTGCAGAACCAGTTCCAAACTAGATTCTTATGGTCTGTAATTGGGACCATCAGGTCTCACCCAATAAGACTCACATCTATACTTTTAACCCATAAATTGACACATTTGGGCATCGTAATATGATAATATTACAAGTATATCATGAAAATAGGTATTAGACTGGGGGTATCTTTGTAATATGGCAATATACATATAACTATGTATGTCTAATTATATATAGCCAGTTTAGGTCTTAATCGGTTCAAAACAACCAAAACCAAACCCAGCCGAATTATAATTGGGACGCAAAATACAGATCAAGACCCCATAATTTGGTTGTTAATTCGGGTTTCTTTGGGTCTACCCGATCCATTGACAGCTTGACATTTCTTATAGACTGGGACATTGAACCAAGCTACTATCAGGTTTTCTTTAGGGAAAAAGCTGTCATCGCTTTTATGTGGTTTAATATCTTAGTCTGTTTTTATCCATTTAATGCCTGACTAGACAGTAACTTTGTGTTATGGCAGGTCATCCATAGTCAAGGTCACCAGAGATCCCACAGTTCGATGTTGAGTCGCTCCTACTGCTAGAACAACGAACAGTGGGGAGTGTGGATTGTTCTTCCGTTACATTAGTTTCTAAACCCTCAATATCCTGCCGGAGTTTGAGGTCAAGGGCAGAGTTTTAATGGATGCTGGAATTGGTTTCTGGCAGCCATGTAGGAACCAACGGTGTATTTGACATGTAGAATCAAAATATGATTCTTTCATCGTCTAAACCCAGTCAGGATATATCGAGTCCTAAATGGTTGTGTATGGTGGTTGTGCATCGTGTTCAATATCAAGAGTGCATAAAACTTTGTGTTGGAGGAATATGTTCTGTAATTAGTCTTCCATTGTCGGCAATTATGTTATTTCGAGTCCAGGAAGGACTTTGAAAACTCCAAGAATTAACAAAGGAAAATAGTCTTTTGAGTGTATATTTTCTCGCTAGTGATGATTTTCTTTCCTCTCCCATTTGCTTAGTGAATCAAATTACCTTAAAGCAAAAATCATGCAAACAAGCTGAGAATAACATCCAGCCGTACATTGGAACATCTGCCCATTGAATTTAACATATAAGTACGGGAGATATTTCTGGTGCCTGCTGGTTTATGAGCTCGTAGGGTGCTTGTATGAGGTTTTTGCTTTCAGGAGATCTGAGCTCAGAAAGAAAAGGACAATGCTACAACTTTCTAAGCGTTTTTTTCCACTTAAAGGGACTGGAAACGTCTTATTTAGATAGGATTGGAATGGTTGGCCCTTGGGAACCTGGGAGAAGTGATTTGCATGTGATCAGATGGATCTTGAAGAAAATTGGGATCTCCTGAAAAAAAAAATCTCTTCTAACACCCTGCCCATCCAGCCGCACATTGGAAACGTACCCCCATGAATTTAACAGACATTTACGGGTACAGCTGAGTGCCTTTTTCTGAGTTCCTGTTTTCTGGAGATTTTTCAGGTGGATTCCTAAATATGTCTGAGCTTGTAAATTCTCTTGCAAGGGATGGAGCTATAAGCACTAATTTCAAATTTCAACCGTCATTCGAAACTTTCCATCCATCAGCTCGACAGTAAAAAGTATTTGTCTCATATTCTCATTACTATTGGAAACAGGTTATCTCAAATTGGCTTATGCAATTTTCGACGAATTCAGGTTAAATTTTCATTTTGATACCGAAGAAAGGTAAAATTTTCATTTGAGACATGTTGAATGGTGATTTTGGGAGGGTTCCCGGTCTGTCAAGAACCATGATCCAATCCAATCCTGAAAAAGATGATTTTAAAAATTGCCAAGTGGTCTGCAAGTCGGGATGCACAATTCGAAGAACTTCAACCATATCAGATTCGGGGTTGGGGTTTGGGTCCATTGGAAATTTAACAAATTCCCTCGTGAAGATGGATGAATATTCATTATATTTTAGCTCAATTTCCTGTACACTCAGAAGACTGAGATCAGCCTCTGCATACTTTACAAAGAAAAAATAAAAGGTCTCCCGCTACAGATAGCTGAAGATATAAAATAGCTAAGGGAACATGATAACACGAAATTAATTCTATATCACAAATCCATTATAATAGGGCCGATATTTAATTGGAATATGTCACTTACAACACGTTGAACTTCTCCAGAGCTGTGCTCACATCGTACGAGATCTACCAGTAAAGGGAAGAAGTGCGCTACATATCTCCTAAACGAATTCCTCTCCAAGCCACTCAATACCCGCAAAGCTAACACAACAAATGAAGTCCGAGCTGCCAACTCTTCTTTCTTCGCAGAACCCAATGGAAGTATCCAGTGTAGTACTGGCTGGTTACATTTCTGCTCGGTCAGACATCCTGCACAGTTCAGATATATCTGCAATATTTTTTCACATACCGCCACAAGTTTGGCTTCAACGTTCATCTCTTCACACAGTGATGGCTTGTCCATCAAAAGAGTCCGCAAAAAATTGAGATAGTTCTGGTAGGACTCGTTTTCAAAGTGTACCACAGGTGGATCTGGGATCTCCAAGATGGAGCAGGCTCTCTGCAACTTCACTTGTAGGGCGGTTTTGGAGCTAAGCTCATTGGCATGAGATGCAATAGATGAGAACATCTCAAGAAGGATCATAATGTTGGCTGTTGATAAGTATTGTTGATGCACCTTGTAGAGATCATTTATGACCTATAACAAGTAAAAAAACAAGTATATATATTAAAATAAGCAATAAAGGAAAGAAAAAAAAATTGAGATATCATTTGCTTATTTTGAAATGTAAGGTATAACTATGGACTTTACAATCCTGTGGTCCTGGATGCTTGGATTATTTTAGGCAATTTATATGACCTAAAACACTTTAACCAATCAAAATCTCACAAGAATTTAGATGAAAATACCGACTGATTGATTATCAGTATGTTAGGAACCAGAAAAGGACTCTTGGTTTCAACATAAATTATTAAGTGCATTATGTCTGTACAACTCAAGAAATATGAAATAGAACCATAACCAGTTCTCTGTTTCATGATTACTGCCTGTACTTATTCAGAGAGAGAGAGAGAGAGAGAGAGAGAGAGAGAGAGAGAGCAACCTGTATTACAAGAAGTAGCATAGCTATATGACCTTTTATTCTAGAAACCACATACGCGGCAGTTTGAAGGCTATCATCCTCAAAATCATCAGTGGTGGAACCCTGGTCATAAAAGAATTCATCTCTATCTCTATAGGATTGAGAAACATCAGGTACTTCAATGTTATCCATGGTTCCAAGGACCTTCCAAAATCCAGGCAGAGTTGAAGCAGCTACCTCTGTCAAGGCCATAAAGATCTCTTTCCATTCATTTTCTGAAAGTCTGTGTCCCAAATCACCTGCTAAACGCAGCAATGCGGCTACTCCAATGCTACGATTCAAATAAGGATTGGTAATAAAACCCATGAATACTGATACAACACTTGGAAGCTGAGACCGCACCACATCAAAGAAACTAACAAACAGGTCAACTAGACACTGTGCTGCCACTGTAGAAGTTTCAGAAGTCCACATGCTTCCCATTCTAGGTTGTTGAAATCTGGAATTTGGTGAAGACTGGTCATCATTCATACTTTGAGTTTCTATTTTGTCCTGAAAGCTACTGAATATGGGGAAAATAATAGATTTGTAAACACCCATCCAGAAGGAGCGTGAGAAAATGTGACCATGGTCCTTTAGAATGTTAAAAAGCACTTCCAAAGAACTCTTTCTGATAGCTGGTCGGGGATCAGAAGTCAGTTTAGACAAACCTGGGGAAAAAACCATTTGCAGGAGAGAATTAAAATTTGGACCAGAACACTCATTAAATTTTTTTTGTAACACTCTTAAAAATATCCAAAGTAGGTTTGCAGTGGATAAAAGGACTAGCAATAAAATATCTGTATACAAAAGGATTAAGGGAGGGTTGGCAGGAAGAGACACCACTTCATATATTAAAAAACAAACAGAAAAAATAAGATGCCAGATCGTTTCACCAGGTATTTGCCTGTACTGCAATTCAACCAAGCAGCTACATAAATACTATTTACTTGGATGCTACATGCAAAGCAAAATTACCTGTAAGCAAAGGAACCCAAAAGTACACCTGATCATCTTTATCTGTGAAAGGGTGTCCATCTGAAGCATCTTCATCTACTACTGGAATGGATGTATCACTTTCCTTGGTCTTCTCATAGCAAACCAGTCCGCCATCAGCAAGTTTGACAGCACAGAACCGGAGAAATGCAATGGCATTAAGGCTAACATCACTGTTAAATCTGCTACTTGTAAAGGTGATAAGACATCTAACACAATCAGTGAAGGTTGTAGTTTCTGTCTCAGTTATGTAGGGAAAATAATCTCGGACTATTTTCTCCATGGTCTCAAAAGCCAATAGAACAATATTCTTGCGTTCATCTGCTGCTGCAGTTGTAAAAACCTGCAAATAAGACTACATGAGGGACAAGAAGTCTCAAAGAATTGAATTGTTCTTCAACAATAAGAAAAGGAGAAAGTGCACTTAGAGTTGGATTCAGTTCAACAATAATAAAACTACTACTACTATTAAAAGTATGAATGATGTTGAACATTTGATTACTTTTTTTATCAGTAATAGAAGCAAATTTTATTATTTAATGAACTTAGAACATGTATGAATCATGGGTAGCTTCGGCTAGGGTAAACTCAAGACTGTCAAAAAAACTTGAACCTTTAGTTCTTTAATCTTATAATTGAGCCCAAAAACAATGTGCCCTGTTAACCCCTTGTTTTGCTAACTGGTATGTTTGACTGTTAGCCAATCTTGGAGTCCACTGAATTACCAAATGCATATTCCTTGAAAATCTCCGAAACTTTTTAATTTCATTTCTGAAGTACCAAGGAGTCTTTTCATTCTGTTTCAACCAACCTATCACTATTTTGGAATCTCCTTCGACTACCAACTTATCACCCCCAACTACAAAGCCTTTTGCATTCCAAAAATCACTGCAGCCAGTTCCACTGTTATGGAGTCCACCCATTCCAATAGGGCCTGAATACAAACCCACAATATCTTCACTTTCATTTCTTAACACCCTCCAATTCCAGACGGACCTGGATTCCAAAAACTGCTCCCATCGAAGTTTAGCTTAAGGAAGCCTAACTCAGGTGGATCCCAATCCCTTAAATTTTTCTTCTTGGATGAGGATAAGGCTGCAATTGTTCCCCACTTCTTTATTATATCATTAAATGTAAAGTCTGAAAACAAACTTAATGACTTTACCCAGAGAGCCACTTTTTCCATAACCCCTTTTATTAAAACTTCCTTCTCAAATATTTGCAGGTTTCTTTCTTCCCACATTGTCCAAACCACTGCTTTCCTCGTACATCTCCACAATAATCTTCCCCTTCTTTTTGGCCACCTGAAAGTAGAAGTGTCAAACAACCTATCCAAACTGTCAGGGGTGTTCCACCTGCATCCAAAAAGAGAGAAAAACCACTCCCCAATACAGCAAGCAAAGGAACAGGAAATGAGAATGTAATGAACAGTTTCACCATTAGACACAGATAGCAACTGTTTGGGGAAAGGCATCAGCCAGGTCTTTCTCTGCAACACATCACATGTATTAATTACACCACGGAGACCACTCCCTATGACTGAGGTTGAAGAGTGGTTGCAGTGGAATTAGGCGTAACAATTTAAAGGCAGGTAAAGGCATTGGCATGAATTTTTTGCACTTCAAGAGGAGAAAGAGAAAGAGGGATTTTCACAGGACCAGCAAGGTGGAGGATTGGGTTTGGGCTATTGATAACTATGACAGCTCTGGCAGGAAAACGATGGTCCTGAAGAACAAGGAGAGTCGAGCTGTGGAGGAGTGACATCTTTTGTGTGCAGTGAAGCTGCTGCAGTTCCAGGGGAGAAAACTGATGGAAAATTGGAGGAGCAGATAAAGGCTATATGGCTTAAAGGTAGGACTATTTGTTTCAGTTCTTTTGTGGTGGATATTCTTGCTGATTCGCCTCATGTGGGGCAAGGAGATGGATTTAGAGAAAGGAGGGGAGGAGGCTGTAAGGGGGCAAGAAAGTTTTCAAAAGGGGTGGAAAGAAGGGGAGGAGATCGAAGGAGGGGAAGACAAGAGGTTGAAAACAAGCAGTTAGTCTGAGGAAGCAAGCAAAAGAGAGGAGAGTGGTGGGTCAGAAGTTCGAGAAGAGTGCTTACATTTTGAAGTCCCAGTTGGAAGGCTTGGAGTTGATTTAGGTAGAAGAAGGAATTCCGAGATTAAGGAAAGATATGCCCTCGATTCAGAGGCATTGAAGAAAATTAGAGAGCCAAGCAAGTTCCAGCTTGTTCACATGTCAAAATTTTTTTCACGTTTGAAAGATGGTTTGGTTGGTGCTGGTCCCACTAATAAATTCAAGAAAGTTTATAAGAAAAAAGGCTCAAAAGACAAGGTTGTGAAGATGAAAATTGCTGAGACCCAGGGAGCAAAATGCCAAGTTTCTAAAGGAGATGAGCAGGCAGCAACAGACGGTGGATTCTAAGGAAGGTTTGGAGTTGAGGTCAGAGGTTGGGGACAAGGAGGGAGGTGCTCAAGACAACAAGGAGGGCTTAATTGCGACTTCATCAGTCAGTGCGGGTGAGAAGGGGGGGTGGAGATTGAATGTTTGGTTGATAGGGATGTCAGGGTGGGTAAGAGCTTAGGTCTCTTTTTTTGGGGGGTGGAGAGGAGTTCACAAAAAAGGCTTTTGAAGCATTTGAAAGAAGCAAGAGGGAAGAGAGCTTCAAGAAGATCGCAATTAGGGAAGGAGGAGAGGCGTGGAACAAGGAGATGGACAAGCTGAAATGATTAATAACTTTGCTCTTGTTTGGGGGTGGTTGTCTTTGGTTTCCCTCGCTTTTAAGATCTTGATGCATTTTGTTCTTTTGTGATGTTGGTGGTTGGGTGTTTTCTTAACACCTTGGTGTTACTTGTACCTGATAATCACTTTTCTTTCTACCTTTCAAAAAAAAAAAAAACATCCTTGAACCCATTTGCACCACTTATCTCCAAACCCATAGATTCTCATCACTTACAATAAGAATGACCAGTCCACCAGTTCATAGGCCTTCACCAGATCCAATCCTCTGAGAAGCACCTTAGTGATGATTTTGTACAAACTATTAACCAAGCTGATGTGTTTAAACACTCTTAGGTAACTTGCATCCAATTTATTTAGGATCAAAGCAATGAAAGTGGAATTCAGTCCTGGATTTATTATTGCTCTACCATAAAACTCATTAAAAACCCTTAGTTATATCATCTTTTAGAATGCCCCAACAATCTTGATAAAAAGCCATTGTAAATCCATCCGAACTTGGTGCTTGGGCTCTATCCATCGAAAACACACTTCCCTTATTTCCTCTAGATCAAAGCTTCTTTCTAGCCAATCCTTGTGGTCTCCTGATAACCTTGGCCAATCCAACCCTTCAAATCTTAACCTGTCATTCAGGGGTCTTCTAAACATAGATTTGAAATGATCCACAAAGCCCCTGGCAATTTCACTTTCTTGGGTAACTGTTACACCCTCCAACTCTAGCTTTGATATAAATTTTTTCCTCCTACCATTTGCCAGAGCATGAAAGAATTTTGTGTTTCTATCCCCTTTACCCATTTGTGCCTGGACTTTTGTCTCCAAATTATTTCTTCTTTGAACAAAATATCCTCCAATTCTTTCCTTAATGCCCATCTCTGCTCCTTACCACTTTCCCCAAAAGTACCCTCAGCTTCTTTATCATCCAAAACCTCAGTTTGGTTAATGATGATTTTTATCCAAAAATAAAACAAATATAGATGAATGTGTGCAAAAACTAAAACAATCCAGTTGACTACTCCCAACCAGATGGCCTGGATACAGCAAGGACATGACCGGATACAGTATCAGGTAGGAAATTTACACTACATATTCAAGTATCACAACGCAGCACCCTTGTACAGGTACTCAAGTATCATGGTAAACGGTTATACTGGTTATGTAATCAATACTTTAAGGTACATTGATGGTTGTTTCTACAATTTTTTAGAGATTTATCCCAAATTTCCAGCATGTGCGAAATGTTTCCACTTTCCATAACTCAATGCATGAAAAACCAAGTCAAGCAATTTAATAGCCTTTTTTTCAGCAAGGAAAATTTTAATAACTGAAAATTGAGATCAATACAATATGATGGGAAAACCAACAACCAAAAAACAAAAAGCTTAAAATGATGCCCCAAATAGCAACTTTATCATGCCCAAAATAGCTGCATTCTTGACTAGTCTATGTTAAGATGTTTGGTTCATTACTCCATTCATGTTTTATTGTATGAAAGGAAAAAAAAAAATGAAACTCAACTTTGAAGAGGAAAGGTCTCCTAATTAAATTTCAAAGGAGCAATGTTTTCAAAGGCATGTGAGGCAATTGCACATCCAGGCAAGGCGCACTCAAAATGCACTGAAGCATATGCTAGAGGCATGTGCCTTTTGCATGCCTCTTAAAATATGCCTCAAATGCCCTTTGCATGAGGCATGTGCCTTTGGTATGTTTTATGCATACCTCATAAAGAAAGAAAGGAAAGTCTAGGCTAGGGGCATTGCCCCCCCCCCC